CTGCATAGGAAGGCAGGAACATGTCTGTGGTGCAAAAAAAAAAAGCCAAACAACCTGCGCGGAATAAACACTGGGTGGCTTGATAGTGTGTACGTGCAGAGACAGTGGAAAGACTGCTTCTAATCCTTCACACTGAGGTTCAGCTAGAGGTGAAACCAGTCAGGACTGATGGCAGGGGCAGCAGGTCTTACTGACGTGGTCTGCGTGAGGAAGCGACAGGAGGCATGCCGAATTCACGCCGGTAACTGGATGAACAGGGGAGACCTGTTTGCAAAGCCCTGATCCAAGTTTCCAGGTGGTGGCCCCAACACTTTTTCCTCTTCGTGCTCATGGGGAAATGAAGCTCAGCCGTGCTCTGCTCTGGCTTCTCTGTGCTGCTCCCTCTGGGTTTGGAATCTGCTCTGGGTGCTCGGCTGGCTTTGTTTCCATGCCCAGAAGGGAGGCAGTCCTTGGTCCCATGAATACTCATCTCTCTCCTGAGTGTGAGGGACCTCCGAGGCTTCAGAGCATCAGAAGCAAAATTGAACTGGGTCACCAACCCTTATCCCTCCTACCACGGGGAGGGGAAAAGCAGCTAGCTGCTCCCGCACCACCTGAGCAGGACAGGGCGGAGAGCTGGTCTCGTGCAAGAGGCTTCTTTAGGTTGTGTTCTTCAGGCTTTAGGCTGGAACCAAAAATATAACTATGATGTTGCTTATGCAGGTCATAAAAATTCAAATTCATATTTTAATGTACTTGTCAAAACACAATGAAGCAGGGCCATAAAGGCATCATGAGAAGCTTTTCTAAACTTTATCCAACTGAAATGAGGAACTAGCAATGATTCATTTTGAGACGCCTGAGACGCCTGTTGTTGAAACTTTTGCCAAAGTCACAGTGTTTCTGTTAAGAGCCTTTCTTTGATTAAACCTGTTGTTGCTGATCTTCTGAAAAAAACTTCCCACTGGCTTTATTCTGGATCCTGAAAGCTGAGCTGTGGCTCCGCAGTGTACCTGGCGTTTCCTGCTTCCTGGAACATTTTCACCACATCTGCTGGGGCTGGGACTATTACAAAATACATCTTCCCTCCAGCCTTGCAGCAGTGATATCAGTTTCGTCTGGAATCCAGAAAGACAAACAGCAGCACAAAGCCAGCAGCTAACGGTGGTGAAATTAATGTTTTCATCCTGCCTGGAAGACCTGGTTGAAGAAGCGGGGATTCTAACTCCCAGCACAATGCTGGGATTCTAATTCCCTCCCGCCCCTAATTCCCAGCACAATGCCCACGGGTGTCAGGATTGTGTGGCAAAAGATGGAGTGTTGTAAAGGTCTGTCTGTCTTGGAGAACAAATACTCTTTAGTTACTGCTGAAACAAAATGGGTATAGGCCAGGCTTATTTGCATACTGTTACCCAGAGTGCTTTTCAGGCCCGCTCTATCCCTAACCTCAAATATAAGTGTTCTGGGTTTGTTTGAGCAAGGAAGGTTGTTCCTTTCTCACAGGAAAGTTGTGTCTTTTCTGTTTTTGCAGGTTGCTCAAAAGTTTATACCAAGAGCTCGCACCTGAAGGCACATCAGAGGACTCACACAGGTAAGAGCACAACATCATCGGGAAACTGCCAGCCTGCGCTTCTTATACTGTGCCTGTTAATGGCGGTGATAATGTAGCTGAGTTGATTACCTTAATCTAGGGTGGTTATTGGGGTAAGGAGCACAGTTAAGTCTGTTGATATTAACATTAAAAAATGCCCAATGGTTGCATTGGTTTATAGTGACTGTGCACAGCTGTGTGCCCTTGCTTGCCTTCTGGAGGGATGGTCTAGAATTTAGGAGAACTCTTGGAGGCTTTCGAGTTGATGGATTGGGAGAAGGTGCCCCCAAAACCTCTGGCACTCTGAGCTCTTCCTTTGAGACCTCCCAAATCCTAGCCGGGTCTGATCCTGCTTAGCCTACAGAAAGATTGCATAAAGGCATGTGGTGCCTTTATGACCTCTGAGGAGACAAGGGCTGTCTTTTTTGTGTCAAGCACACCTATGGTTCCCAAGGAAAGGAAGGAACCCCTCGTATCTCCTTAGCAGCTGCCAGTGGTGTATCACTGGAGCTGCTGAATACATGTACAGAAGGGCTCCGAATACACATACAGAAGGGCTGTGCCCTCATTCTTGAGGGCAAAAAGGTGCTGTGGGCTGCCCTTGCTGGTTTAAACAGGGTCACTAGCACAGAGGAGCTCCCACCTCTCCCACCGCAGCCAGCTTCCCCGGGGTAAACCTAGCTCAGTGGCACTTGTGCATTCAAGCACAGGTCTTCTCATTAAGGCATTTATTATACCTGAAACTTTATCAGATCCCCAGGTAGTCCAGGAACCATCAGTGCCCTCATAAATCTCTTTTATAGAAGGGCTGATCTTTACTGAAAGCAATTAAGCTGGCCCAGAGTTCACTTTTCTTTTTTATTAACAACGAACAAAACCCATCCTGAGGCTGGGAATCAGTTCTTGCACTTGGCTCTGTTCCGTTTTCGTCTTATCAGTCCTTCGAACAAGCCAGCAAAGAATTTTTCTTTGTGCATGAGGTACAATATTTTTTTGGCAGGGCCTGGGTAGGAGCGGGCTGGAGAACAACACGGAAGGGGTGGAAGAAAGGAACAGGAAAGACATTGTCCCGGCTCTGAGAGCTGGGTGGTGATAAGCATTTGTCACAACAGCAATCTGTATTCAGGGCTACGCTAGGGCTCTCACTTTAAAATTAAATATCTCTTTTCCCCTTCTGTTCGGAGCACGGGTCTTAGCTCTGTGCCCAGAGACGCAACCCATCTGAGACATGCATCGTCCTTACAAGTCACAATATAAAGATGTATCCAGGCAAACTTGGGTGGTTTTTGAACCCAATAAAATGCAGTCATTTTTCCAGGTTTCCCAGTAATTGGGCTGGAAATCCAAGTGCGTTTGCCTCCTTCCACTTCACTTGCTGTAAGAGGGAAGGGCAGAAAGGCAAAGGAGGATGTGATCTGAGTAGCCAGGAAAACTGGTGGTGTTGTGGGGCAGTAAAAAGAAGGGAATCCAAAACAGAGAGCCATATGCAGGCAGGCTCAGGGTGTCTGCGTCCAATTTTTGAAGCCTTACGTTTTGCTTTTGAGGCCTCAGCCTCGCTGAGCACAACACCAGAGCTGCAACGGCAGGGCCCATCCAACTCCTACCAGCTAAGTACGCTCGATGCTGCCTCAGCTCCATCACTTGAAGGGTTAATAACGCCCTTTCCCTCGATTCCTTGCCTGATGGCAGCTGGGCTGAGAAGTACATGATCTCTAAGATCTTTTCTTGTGGTTTGCCCGTTGCTATGGGCTGGGCTGTATTCATCTCCTGGAGACACCATTCATTTCCTGGGTGCCATTGTGAGATTAAATATATAACCCAGTGGCTGCTCACCCGCCTCCCGGGGGCTGGGAATGCCAGTTTGGGTCCTTTGTTTGAGCTTGCCCTGCCGTGCTGTCCTGGGAGATGGAGCCAGCTTGTGGGACAATGGAAAGCATTTTGTTTCTATCCTGGAGATCAACCTGTTATTGTTTGAAACTAAAAGGCCTTGGTAGGGTTGACCCAGCCAGGTGACCTGGCTGGGACAATGTCTGTGGCTGCACAGTGCAAATCCCGCCTTTGTCTTAGCGTGCTAACGCAAACCCCGAGATCCCCAGCGTGCCGTAAAACATCCACTGCGCTGCTTGTAAACTAAGTTCTCTATTTACCTGTGCCATAAAAAATACTCCTCTCTCCTCCCCATGGTGGGGGCTTTTTGAGGTGCAGGAAGTAGTCTTGGTGCCGTGTCCTCCAGGTTCACATGTCTGTGCTTCCATATTTTGTCCAGTGCGTGCAAGACACTGTAGATCTTGCTGTGGCTGAATGTTTTCTGTTTCCTGGCCAAATCCACTGCCTGCCTAGCACACGCGCTGCGGGGAGGAACGGCCGTTCACTGGGAAACATGTCAGAGCACGACACACATGCCTGTGCATGCATGCTGCATGTGTACGTGCATTCATGCCGCGATGGTGTGCTCAGCAATTGGCCGATGAAACGGTAAATATTTGAGGTCGGGAAAGTCAGCACATTCCCTGAACTCTGCCTGCTTGTTCAGGCTGTTAAGAGTGAGGGCTAATATTTGAGAGCACCACACCCATGCGCGGAGAGGGCTGCAGCCAGGGTTCAGCTCTACAGCCTGGGCACGCAGGGAGTTGGAAGCGGACACGGGCTTTTCCAGCCCAGTTCCCAGCTGGCTGAGAGGTGGCACAATTTAATTGATTTCAGTTCGGGAATAGGTGTGTATGGGTGGGAGGGGGGAGAGGGCAGAGGCATTACGTCACCCAAATGCTTTGAAGAAAACACAATGTTTTGTGTACAGAGAGCTGCTGCAGGGCTGAACTTTGAGGCGCAGAGCGTTTGGTGGTGGTTTCAAAGGTGCGAGGCTTTGAGGAAAATTTATATGGCATAACCCCCTTCTTCCTCCTGATGCCCCCCCCCACCTGTATGACAACACCTTCCATAGCAATTTTTGGCTTTTTAGTTAAAAAAAAAAAAAAGAACTCAGAAAAATTTTTAGCCAGAAATGCTCCAAAATCCAACAGGAACTTGAACAGCACTAGAAACCAAG